GGGGGGCTGGTGCACCCCCCCCCCCCCGCGCCTGTCCATCCAGAGATGGTCCATGTCCCAACCCCTCTGTCCAGGCCTAGGAGTCATTTCTGCCTGAACCTCTTAAGGAAACTGAGAACATTGTTTCAAGCAGGAGTTTGCAGAGAGCATGCTCCTCTCATTCACGTCGACTTGAACGTACCCAATGTGAGAGGCCAGCCCTTCGGTGCTGCGCACGGACCTGTGAACCAGGCGGCGCCCTGGCCACCGCCCACTAGGAGCCTGTCACCCCTCAGCCTCCCGCCCTCCCTCTCCAGCCCCACGCAGAGGACCTGGGGGACTGCCAGGCCTCAGACAGGGTGGGGCTGAGTGACAGCATGACTAGCCCATCCCCACGGGGGTTAGACTTGGGAGAAACACAGTGTTACTGCACTAAGCCACTACGATGACTGAGTAGTCAGGGTGGCTATCTTACTGGAAACAAACACCACTTGGTAGGAACGACCTTTGAGATGGGCACTTGTATGGCCTTTGGAAGGCCCGCAGGGCCCAAGCCTTCCGTGCGCCTTCCAGCGGAATATTTCATCTCCCGCAGAAAAAACCCAGAAAACACATGGAGTGCAGCTACACTGTATTTGTCAGCGTACACGACTCGATTTGGTTCAGATATTCCCAAGGTTGATTTGACTGCTCATGAATTTTAGATGGGCTTTTTAACACACAGGAGTGTCTTTCTTGATCACGATGTGGGGCGTGAACATTTCGATCCATTGTCCTTCTTACGGTCAGAAGGAGCGTGGCAGGGCCGAGAAGGGTCAGCTCGCCAGGCCTCTTCTCAGCCGGACTTCAACACTAACCCAGTTCCAGGAGGAGTCAAGTGCCTGCCCTTGTGAGCTTGGCCCAAGGAAACTAGGCCACAGTGAACCTAGGCTGTGGAGGGCCCAGGCCTCAACACTTGGCTTTGCATGTGCTGGAGTCTCAGGGAGTGAAGGGTGGGTGCTTCCCCTCTGGCCGAGAAAGCGTCAGGTAGATGCTGCATTTCCTCGTCCAGCACAGAGGGGATTCCAACTGTACCAGAAAGATTGGGCCTGTTAGGAAGCTTGCTGTCCCAAATGCTTTATAAAGTTTCTAGTACATTCCTAGCATACCAAGAACATGTTAATAGTGAAAATAATGTAACTGATAGCAGTTAAACATTAAACAATATTTCTTTATGGCACATAATATTTTCCTTTGGAAAGGTAACTGTTTTATCTCTAGTAAGAGTTTAGTTACATTGTTAACTAACAGACTGTTAAAACAAATAGAACAAATCAAACATGTGACTATGTATCTATTTTAGAAATCTTGAAGGTAGTTAATATTCATCTCAAATAAAATATATACCTTTCTGAAAAAGAGAAAAGTGATTGTAATCAAAACATTAGAGCTTTATACTGTTTATAAGTTGAAAAAAAAAATAACTTGCCCATCTCACAACACAGATCTACAGTCAATGTAGAAAAAACACAACTTTCCCCTCTTCGGTCAGTTTTCTTTCTTTGACCCCAAACAGTTTTCTCAAAAGGAAACAAAACTAAGTGAAATCGAACAAAAGAAATTATTAGTTATTTTTTGCCAATATTGTTAAAGTATAATTTGTTGCTTAATTTTCTCTCATCTTTTTTGGACCTTTCACAGTAGAAAGTTGTTCACCTACGAAACGAGGGAAATCAGTTATTTAATTTAAATAGATCACCTCTCGTGGCCTGAAAACAGGCGGCACAATTCCCAGTGGCTCGTGTCAGCTCTTTGGGGGAACACTGCCTTTTTGTTGTTGTGGTAACAATCAGAGAATTCTACAGCTTTAGACTTCACAGACCATCCAGCTCAAGCCCGAAGAAGCAGAGAGCAAGTGATTGGAAAAATACATCACATTTTTGTGTAAAGCAGTTTACATATACTTGGCTTTGCCTTAAGCAGCACAGACAATTGATGTAGCCCACGGGATGGTGTTCACCCTGGGTACAGTACCCACGTTTCTGCTGCCTGGAGGCCTCCGAGGAGTCCGTCCTGACAGAACCGTACATGGAAGAGCTCTCCACAGATCATGAATCAGCACCGTCCTTTATTAGGATGAAAAAGTCTGTAAAAATGATCCATACAACATGAAGGACAGCTAGAGTCTCTTTAGCCCCGATACGGATCTAAGCAGCAGCCAGTGGCAGTTTTGTTGCTGGAGGTTACGATGTGGGAATCTCAGGGGCTGGGCTGAGGGGCTGGCACACAGAGCAGCAGAGGTGTGACGCAGGGAACCCCTTGGTCTGTCGCATTCAAAACTGCAGAAGAAGAGAAGGGAAATATTAGTCACCAGCGAGACTTCCATGGTTGGCAGAATTTGGGGAGGGGGATAGTTCTTACTGGTACTTTTTAGAAAAAAAAAAAGTACTTTTGGATATTGTAGAAAACTATGTAAAAGGAAAGATTGTATGTACATTTAAAATCATGAGTTTTGGCTAAATTTCTTGTTTTCTTTTTTCATTGCAACGATATTTTTTTTCCCAAAAATAGTTTTACACTAAAATATTTTACAATAGAAGTTTCGCACGCTGGAGCCACAGCCCCTCCAAGGGCCCGCGGGATGGGGGACCCCGGGCGGGGTGGGGTGGGGGGCCCGGCGCCCGGGCCTGTCACTAGGCGGCGCTCTGAGGAGAGGCGCGGATACTTCGCTTCACACAGAAAGGCAAAGGGGAAAAGGAAAACATCTCGCTCCATCTGCCTAAGATCTGTTTGATACGAATTTTTACTTTTTCTTGAGTATATCTTAACAGAAACGTTTACATTTTAGTACTACTGCTTGCAAACAACATGCTCACTGAGAGATCAAACCATTTGCCTCCCAAGAGCAGTTTTGACAAGTCCTCTGATGGGGGTGGGGTGGGGGAGGACGGTCACATTTTGTTCTCTTCCAGCTCCTTTCGACTGACCCTCCCTCAAACCCCGTCTTCCTGAAGAAACAGACATAGTGTGTGTGGGGGGGTGGGGGGTGGAGACAGAGACAGGGGGAGAGACAGACAGAGACACCGAGTCAGAGAGGAGGGTGGTCCTCAGGCCACTGTCCCTGTCGCCAGAGGCGCCCGCGCGCCCTCCCCAACCCCCGCTCCTTCCAGCACCTCCGCGCGGTTACTGGAGAGGCTTTAATCCGAGCCCCACGCCCCCCTCCTGGGCTGTGCTTACACCTTCCCAGTCAGACCGCTGGCTTGGAGGAGGTCCAACTCTTGCCCAGAAGCGCCAATGAAATGGGAAAGTGCGCAATTGATTGATGATACATTTTACAAGAAAAAATTTAAAGGAGATAGATTGTTGAACTTGCACCACGAGTCTGCCAACATCTAAAGAATCAAAACTTTCTGAAAGACGTGGGCCTGCAGGGAAGAGCCCGGGGCTCCTGCGGGCGTGTCCCGGGAAGGGTCGCGGGCTGCCAGCCAGGAGGGTCCCGGACCAGAGGGGCCTGGCTCGTCCGCCCCGCGGCCCCGGGACTGCGCGTGGGCGGGGGTGCCAGCGGCGGTGCGACCTGAGGTCCCTGCCCTCCCCGCGCCGCCCCTGGCCCCCCGCTGCCCTCCCTGCACCCGCCGGCCACGCCGGCAGATCCCTCCAAAACCGATAGACGCTAATTGACTTATTAAATGTCGAGGCAATCGGGCAGCTTCTTTTTTAATAGCCCAAGATCTACATTTAGACAAAAACAGATCTGAGTTCCTGGTAAAGGCGTTTCTTCTCATCCTGTCACAGTGACAGGAACGGAGGTAAATAGACTGGGTGGGGGGTGTGAAGGGCAGGAAGAGAAGGCGCGGGGGAGGAGAGGGGAGGGAGGGGTGCGGGGAGGGAGGGGTGACGAGGGAGGGGTGAGGGGAGGGAGGGGTGAGGGGAGGGAGGGGTGACGGGAGGGGAGGGTGGAGGGGGAGGAGAAATAGGGGAGGGGGAGATGGGGAGGCGGGGAAGGAGGAGGGAGGCGAGGGGAGACGGACGCGCTGGGGGGAGCTGGGCGGGAGGGAGCTGGGCGTGGGGGGTCTGACGAAGATCCGCACGAGGGTACGAACACTTCAGCGGCTTCTAATTAAAGCCGGCGCGGAGCCCTCGGGACCGGCCTGACGTCGGCGGCACGGGGATAAGAGGCGCCCGGGTCCGAGGCGGCCGCCGTGCAGCGCGCGGAGCTGGACCGGCGCGTGCGGGTCCCGTGCGTCCTGTGCGCTCCGCAGGCCGGGGCGCCGCGGGGCATGGAGTAGCGGGGCGCCTGGACCGACGCCGGAGGACGCCAGCGGATCCGGGCAGGTAAGCCTCCGGCTTCAGCGCAGGTGGCCCGGCAGGTGTGGGCCGACTCCCGCCCCAGCGTCAAGGGGTCGCTAGGACCTGGCACAGGGCGGCCGCAGAGAGGGTCCTGGCGCGGGGGCTGCGCGGTGGGATTCGGGGACCTGGTGTTGGGGGGGGGGCGACCACCGCACAAAGGCTGGAAACTTGAGCGCGGCAGTCGGGCCAGGCGCGCGGGCTGCCTGCTCGCAAGGACGGGGTGCGGGGCGGACCCTCCAGACGCGGCTTCTGAAGGCTAAAAAAGTTGTGCGGACGCCCCGCGCTCCCCGTGCGGCGTGTCGGGCTCGGTGAAAGTTCGGCGGCCGCGGCAGGGGCGGGACGCAGCGGGGAGGGCGAGGCCGCGCGGCCCCGCGGTGCAGCGGAGGCTCCCATCCCCGCAGCCCCGCATCCCCGCGGGTGGGGCCTTGTCGGTGTCCCCTGGAGAACCCCGGCCAGCGCCCCGCCGCCGACACCTCATCTGCCGCTCGGCCCGGGACTGTGCGGGGCGCCCCTGCGCGGGGTCTGTGGGGATAGGCGGGGATCACCGGGGGTGCTCGGGGGTTCCTGGCACGGGCCTCTGCTCGCGCCCCCTCCGCCCGGCCCGCTGACTTTCTTCCCGGTTCGCCCACAGCCCATCCTTCCAGCCAGCGAGCTCCGGGTGCGAGGACCTGCCCGCCCGGCCGGCCGAGCGCGCGATGCGCGGGCCCGGGCGCCCCCTCCTCCTGGGGCTGCTGCTCATGCTGGGCGCGGCAGGGCCGGGTCGGGGAGTCGCGGAGCCCCGGGAGGCGGCGGACAGACAGACGCTGCTGCGGCTCATCTTGGAGATCATCCAGGAGCTGAAGAAGTACCACTCAGGGGAGTCCAAGCGGCTGCAGCCCCCGGGGCCGCAGGACGCGGCTCTGGGCCGCAGGGAGGCCGCGGACTACGGGCTGGACCCCGAGGAGCAGAGGGCGGGTGAGCGCGCGCGGCTCTCGGACCACGAGCTCCTGTTTGCTTGGAAATAGAAGGGTCTCTGAGAAAACAGTTTAAAATGGCAAATTCATTTCGATTGTTTAAAATTTCTCTTTCAAGAAGAAAATAGGAAGTCCCTAAATGACCATCCATAGCCCACTTCCGAGACGCGGAGCTGTTACCTAGGTGGTGATTTCCACACCTGTTGTTCCGGAAAAGGAAGTATTTCCAGCAGGTCCCCACTGAGACTGAAATGGCCCCGCACCCCCTCCCCCAGAGGCCACCCCAGGGAACTTCCCAGGAAAGCAGGCTTCTGGTGCTCCCATGACACAATTAGGTCAACTATGATAAGGTCAATTTTGTGTAGACAGACTAAGTTAGGAGTTAATGAAGACTGACATTCTGGAGATGCCCGAGCCTCCTGTGTGAGGAGCATTCGGACTAAGATAAACAGAGGGGACCACACACGAGCAAAGCCGACTAGTCCTGAACAGGCGAGTGAGGTGAGCACAGTGACTGTAGGAGCGGAACAGGCTGAACCCAGGAAACAGGCTGAACCCAGGAAGAACGTCGGTGGGCGCAGGCGGCTGAGCAAGTCCCCACCAGGTGTCTGCCTGGAAGGGGCATCCCCGGAGCTCTGCTCTTCTGACCTGAACCCGGCTAATGCCTTGCTTGATAAGATACATCATGCACCTATACCAGCTCTCTAGCCGGTGGTTGAAGACATGTCATTCATTTTCTAAATATATACCCAGAAAAAGTGAACGTCTATGGCCATACTTTGCTTGAGAGATGAGGTTTTCTTTCTAGAACTTTGAGAGGTTGTGACAGTTTATTCCTAAGCTTTGCAAGATGAGGGTCTAAAAGTGATGTGGTCACTGAAACTAACTGTAGAACAAGCAGCAGACACAGGCTTTCCTGCACTTTGTAGCTTGATGGCCTTGTGCTGTGGCAGAGACCGGACAGATGATGTTGGAGCTGTGAGAGTCGTTAATACTGGTTACAGGAAACTCTGATGACAGGTGTCCCGTGGTGTCCTGTACGACAAGCAGGGTGCTCAGACCTGTCCTGTTGGTTATCGACATGGTGATGCAGATTTCCAATAAGTCCCTTCAGCGTTCACCTGAGACCACATGAACGAAATGCTTCTTTCAGGCATCACAATAACTAATTTCTTTCCCCTCAAACAGAAATTGTTCCTCGAGATCTAAGGATGAAGGACAAGTTTTTAAAGCATCTCACAGGTCGGTCTTCTCGCCCCTTCCTGTCCCCTGTTCCTTGCATCCTTTGCATCCCCGGAGCCCTCACCACCTGTCCCTTCTTCCCTGTTCCAGGTCCTCTGTACTTCAGCGCAAAGTGCAGCAAACACTTCCACAGACTTTACCACAACACCAGGGACTGCACCGTCCCGGCATGTAAGTGAGAGAGCCCAGCTGCGTCGAGGCAGTAGACAGGAGGGTGGTTCCCTGCCCTCCCGCTCAACCAAGTGGGCCGGCCCTCCTCATACACGTTCCCTCTCAACCATGGGGTTCGGGGCCAGGGCGACCAGACCACTGAAGGTCACTGCGATCGGTGGCAGCCAGGGTCAAACTTAACATTAGTGACATTCACTGCAATTGACCAACGCTGGGAGGGGCCTTCTGGTCCTGCTGGTGGACTCCCACCTGGTCAGCTGCGAGAATCGACAGGTATCAGTGACCACTGTGGAGTGCTGTGCCCTGGGCGGGAGGTGATGGCCGGGCCGCCCCAGCACCTGCTTCCGCGGCAGCTGCCCCTCATCACTCCAGGGCGAAGCTGCTTCAGAATGCTGCCCTTCCCGTGTGGACGTCCCCTTCCTAGTGCAGAGCTGTGGTGACCTGGTTTATCCACAACAGCACGTATTTTATTTCCCCAAAGTGGCTCCTTGTGCTGTTCACAAACCATATAATGGTGACAAGTCCCTTATTAGGAAAAGTGACATCAGCCAGAGCCTAAACCAATGTTTTTTGGGTGGGGGTACAACTTTCCTCGATAGCTCAGGGAGGGAAGTTTGCAGACTCGACACCACCAGCTGCTTCCAGGGCTGACCAGGGGTACAGGCCAGACCTGCCTGTCCTGCCTTAAAAAAAAAATAAAAGTCACTTTATATGAAGTTTTTTCAGCCTAGGCAGCGAGGTTACCCCAAATAGAAACAGGTGTCATTCCAGGGGTTCTTTGTCTAGGCACATGCCCAAACCCTGCCAGGAAGGCAGAGCGCCGGGGCTCGGCGTCCACCGTCTCCGTGTTAAGCAGTGTGCTCCATGCCGCCCCCCATACCTGCCATATGGACCTGGCACACATCGCTCCTGCACTTCCTTCCTGAGATAGACACCTGCTGTTTGAGAATTATTAACCTGCTCCCCGGGGCCAGAGAACCTTCTCCTTTATTGTTCAAGTGTGCGCATGTGTTTGCATTGAATGTTGTCTTACAATAATAGGATCAGAGATCTAAACTTGAAAGTGACTCCGTTGGGGCCATTATTTCTGACCCACTCGCAGACGAGGAAACAGACCACACACTGAAGCTGCCTTTGCAGACACTGGACCCCATGTGCCCTCGTCTGCTGCCTCCTGTGCTCAGCTCCTCAGCCACATGCCACCAAGGTCCCTGTCACCCATAGCGAGACGCAGTCCTCAGATCAGCCCAACTCCAGCTCTCGTGAGTGCTGGAGCAGCCCACAGGCCTGCGCACCGCGTGAGCGGTTCCCTGTGTGGTCCCCGCAGCCCACAGGACTGCGGAGCTGACGCGGGACCAGGTCCATGCTGCTCTGGGCACCCGGCAGGTCCAGCTAAAGGGCACCTGAGGGCCTCTGTGCTCAAAGTGTGCCCTGGTCCCAGAGGAGCTCAGGGGAACAGCAGGGCTTCAGGTCCCGCCAGACCAGCAGCAGCTGCACCTTAGTAAGGTCCCCAGGTGGACACTGGGGTAGGACATGTGGACTGAGGGGAAATGCCGCAGGTGCACAGAACCAGGGACCCGAGGGCCCAGCGCCAGCTGAGACCGTTCTTCCCTTTGGACCCACACGTCCTGGCCTGGGGAGTGGAGAAGCTGCCCCTCTAACATGTTCCTGGTTTACTCGTCCGTTCAGGCTTTCGGCTGCAAGCAGGAGCCCGTCCACTGTTAGCAGGACTCTGGCTCGAGCAGTCGGCTGCAGTCACCTGCGCTGCTGCGGACGTCCCTGGAGCAGACCCCCCACGCTGGGTCGTTCTGGGGCAGCAGCCAGCGCCCTGGGGCCTGGGCGGTGGGAGGGTCCGGGAGCGTCAGGCAGCAGTCAGATTCAGGACCCCGCCCTGGGTCCCACTGCAGGGTCTCTGCGCCTTTACTGGACTCGACCCGCCCACCTGCTCCAGGTCACTGCAGAAGGCTCTGGGTTGCGATGACGTTGAGGTGGCAGCCTGCATGTGACCTCAGTGTTGTCACAGTGGCAGGGAAGCTGTCTGCTGGGAAGGGACCTCCATGAGCCTCCAAGCCACAGAGGGGCAGCGCCCAGCTGTGCGGACTGTCCGCCCTCCCCACACTCCACTCACCTCATCTACCTTCTGCCACCAGAGGCTGAGGCCCTTGAAGTACCAGATGTCACTAAACCAACAACTCAGAGCCCACGGCTGCAGATGGCAGTGTCCATGCTGCCCCAGGGAATTCGGAGCAGTTAAAGAAATAAAATGGCTTTGGCAGCGGACGAGCTTGCCGTGACGCTGACCAGCTCTGTGCTTCTCTCTGCAGACTATAAGAGGTGCGCCAGGCTGCTGACCCGGTTGGCTGTGAGTCCCATGTGCATGGAGGGGTGAGGTAAGCTACGCGCAGCCCCGGCACAGACCCAGGCCCTTCGGGGCCGAGGAAAGTCAGGGGACTTGACTGACACTCCTCTGTGACTCACCACTCACTCTCCGGACACTGGCCATCAGTGGTGCCGGCACTGATCCACATGTTATCCACGTGATGGTGTGGTGGGCACGTGGTTGTTTACAAGAAAGTCAGTAGCTGATTTCAGCACGTGACAGGGTACACATTAGGGTGCATGTCTAGTCCTGCCTGTTCAGTTTCACTCATCACTGACGCTGACATGTGAGCACACGGCTGACATATCCATGCAGATTTTTTTTATCCTCACCTGAGGACATTTTTTTTCATTTGTCTTTAGATAGAGCAGGAGGGAGGGAGAGAGAGAAACATCAATGTGAGACACATCGACTGGTTGCCACCCGCATGACCCCAGCAGGGGTGGGGGACAAACCACAACCGAGGTACGTGCCCTTAGTGGGAACCGAACCGGGGACTCTCGGTCTGCAGGCCGACACTCTAACCGCTGAACCAAACTGGCCAGAGCTCCGTGCAGATTTTATAGACCTAGCTGGCAAACGTTAGAGTTGAATTCTACCATTATGCCAATAAGCTTATAAAGAATAGCTCATAGCTGTTCTCTTTTTTTCTATCAGATAATTTTTCGTAGCCTCTCAGGGTGAAATTATGCATATTAATAATGCATGAACTGAACCGTCTACCTTGGCCTCTTGAGAGCTGTGACACAGCAGCAGTCCGTGGATGCAGTGGAGATTTTCCTGACCCAAATGCCATTCTTGTGCAGTTTTATACTCAGTGGGTCGTGGGTAGATGCAAGTCTGTCCCCACTAACAGACACGCCTTGGCCCTCAGAGGGCCGTCCAGGAAAATCTGTCGCTGTGCTGTCCAGACCCTCCATGAAGAGGGACCACGCTGCTGTTCTTCGTGGTCCCTCATTCTCGTGCAGCGACTCCCCTAGGAGTGGATGTGGTGTCTGTCCTGCTCCATGAGAAGCCACCAGAGACCAGAGGACCACGCTGGGGTCCCCTGGAGGTCCCACCGCATTCTCAGGTCGACCGAAAGCACGGTTTTTAATGCCAGAGCTGAGAAAGGCTGTGCCCCACCCTCTCGTTGAACTGCCCAGTTTCTCTTCCTCTGCCCACGTGGCACATAGAAGATACTTTTCCTTGTGTCTCCCAAAGATAAGCTAGGGGAGATGAGAATGTTTCTTATTAAGCATTTTTTTAGTTAAAGCATCACTATTTCCAGATCCTTGAACAGCTCTCACTCACTCACCAGAGGGGAGATGGTGCCCTCTGGTGACACGTGTGCCCTCGGCTGCAGCCTCCCTGGCCTGACCCTCTGCAGCTGCAGGTCTTGCACACACAGCCCCGGCAGGGGGCGGGCCCTCAGCACCAGGGCAGCGCCTGCAGCTCCTGAGCTCTGCTCTGTCTCGGGGCACATCAGGGCTTGGCCCCCTGCAGCAGGGACACCTGGCTCCTCCCTTCCCACCCCAGCTCCCGGTCAGCTCTAGAGGAAATCTCTTGGCAGCAGTGAGTGCTCCCCACACTGTGGGCTCCACTAGGGTTTAAGCGCAGGCTCTCAACCTGTGACCTGGGGGACACCCCGTGCCTCCTCTCTGAAGCTCATTCTCTGAGCCCTGGCCAAGCAGAAGCCATGTCCAGCTTCCCGCCCTCTCAGGCTGTGACTCGGGAACAGCACTGGGCACCTTCGAGAGCAGTGCCTCGGCCAGGGACCTTCCAGTTCATCATTTCCAAAGTGAATGCTACTCGAGGGCTCTGGACTAGCGCAGTGCTGGGTGTCTGCTCCTGGGGGTCACTCTGCAGAGCCTGCTCACACTGAGCACACGGGCAGCCAGCAGGCGTCACAGGCTGAACTGGGAGGCTTTGAGGGCACACAGCAGACCGGGCACCTGTGTTCGAGGGTTCTCACCCCTCCAGAGTTCCTCCCCACTCTGGGGAGACAGGAACTCTGTGCCGACTCCCTGAATTCAGTCTTAGTGCACAACCAAGTGTGGACAGTGACAGGACGCGTTTGTTCCCAGCAGCGAGCGGACTGCAGAGGAACCACGAGAAGTGCCTTGTGAGCCCACAGGGAGCAGAACCGCCACCTTCATGAGTGCGCCCGTGGACAAGGGTCGTTTCTGCGGACTTCCGTCAGTGCTGGGGGTGTGTCGCCGAGTTCGCAGACACGTGTCCGACCGTGCACCGGCCGCCCTCTGCTCTCGGGAACAAAGGTCCTGCGTCTGCCGCGCGGCTGTGCAGGGGGCACTCCTTCCCTGACTGGGTGAGGTCCGAGCATTTCTTTAGAAACGAGATCTGAAACTATATTTTCATATGCATAGGGTATGATTTAATATTTTTATTACTTTTACAATTAAACTCCCAGTGTTATCTGGGACTGCATGGAGACTTTCTTAGGACAGAGGCTTAGCCGCGCTCGGGGCGCGAGTGCGGACCCGAGGCCGTCGCAGCCCCTTCACCTGTCCTGTGACGTGTACGTGGCATCAGCATCCTGTGCAATATGTAAATACTGTGAACACACGTAATAAAGTGTTTGTTATAACAAAGTCTGAAAGAAGTTTTACTCTCCCAAGCCCCCCACTGGGAACTCGGTCCACCATCTGTGAGGATGGTCAGAAAGGTGTGGACACACAGACAGGGAGGCGTTAACTGTCATCGACCGTCACATTCTCACTCTTAGAGGAGAGGGCACTGCACGTGGGTGGTGCTGTCCTGAGAGCCCGACTCAGAGCTGCCGGGTTTGCACCTGTGGCCCTGTGACTGTGAAGCTCTGGGCTGCAGGAGCCCTGCCTTCTGAGCAGCTCGGGTCTTGTAAGCAGCTATATTCCAAGCAAATCTGACTTGGCTGAGATGCTCTGTGCACAGCCCCTGGTCTGGGTGCAGCCAGAGCAACAAGGTGAGTCCTGGGGTTTGAGACCTATACGTAAACATTAATGAAGCAAACCAGGGTTCACTTATGAACACTGAGAATAAGAGAGGAAGTCGTCCGCTGCACGGGGCGTCCTGAGCACGTGCTGACTAGTTACCTGTGCAGTGCTCCCACTCATCCTGTGCTCTCTGCTGTCGGGGCGTCCGGAGCACGTGCTGACTGGTGACCTGTGCAGTGCTCCCGCTCATCCTGTGCTCTCTGCTGTCGGGGCGTCCTGAGCACGTGCTGACTAGTTACCTGTGCAGTGCTCCCACTCATCCTGTGCTCTCTGCTGTCGGGGCGTCCTGAGCACGTGCTGACTAGTTACCTGTGCAGTGCTCCCACTCATCCTGTGCTCTCTGCTGTCGGGGCGTCCTGAGCACGTGCTGACTAGTTACCTGTGCAGTGCTCCCACTCATCCTGTGCTCTCCGCTGTCGGGGCGTCCTGAGCACGTGCTGACTGGTGACCTGTGCAGTGCTCCCACTCATCCTGTGCTCTCTGCTGTCGGGGCGTCCTGAGCACGTGCTGACTAGTTACCTGTGCAGTGCTCCCACTCATCCTGTGCTCTCTGCTGTCGGGGCGTCCTGAGCACGTGCTGACTAGTTACCTGTGCAGTGCTCCCACTCATCCTGTGCTCTCCGCTGTCGGGGCGTCCTGAGCACGTGCTGACTAGTTACCTGTGCAGTGCTCCCGCTCATCCTGTGCTCTCTGCTGTCGGGGCGTCCTGAGCACGTGCTGACTGGTGACCTGTGCAGTGCTCCCGCTCATCCTGTGCTCTCTGCTGTCGGGGCGTCCGGAGCACGTGCTGACTGGTGACCTGTGCAGTGCTCCCGCTCATCCTGTGCTCTCCGCTGTCGGGGCGACCTGAGCACGTGCTGACTGGTGACCTGTGCAGTGCTCCCACTCATCCTGTGCTCTCTGCTGTCGGGGCGTCCTGAGCACGTGCTGACTAGTTACCTGTGCAGTGCTCCCGCTCATCCTGTGCTCTCCGCTGTCGGGGCGTCCTGAGCACGTGCTGACTGGTGACCTGTGCAGTGCTCCCGCTCATCCTGTGCTCTCTGCTGTCGGGGCGTCCTGAGCACGTGCTGACTGGTGACCCTGTGCAGTGCTCCCGCTCATCCTGTGCTCTCTGCTGTCGGGGCGTCCTGAGCACGTGCTGACTGGTGACCCTGTGCAGTGCTCCCACTCATCCTGTGCTCTCCGCTGTCGGGGCGTCCTGAGCACGTGCTGACTGGTGACCTGTGCAGTGCTCCCCCTCATCCTGTGCTCTCCTGCTGTCGGGTGCGTCCTGAGCACGGCTGACTGGTGACCTGTGCAGTGCTCCCGCTCATCCTGTGCTCTCGCTGTCGGGCGTCCTGAGCCCGTGCTGACTGGTGACCTGTGCAGTGCTCCCGCTCATCCTGTGCTCTCTGCTGTCGGGGCGTCCCTGAGCAAGTGCTGACTGGTGACCCTGTGCAGTGCTCCCCGCCTCATCCTGTGCTCTCTGCTGTCGGGGGGCGTCCTGAGCACTGTGCTGACTGGTGACCTGTGCAGCTGCTCCCGCTCATCCTGTGCTTCTCTGCTGTCGGGGCGTCCTGAGCACGTGCTGACTGGTGACCTGTGCAGTGCTCCCGCTCATCCTGTGCTCTCCGTTGTCGGGGCGTCCTGAGCACGTGCTGACTGGTGACCTGTGCAGTGCTCCCGCTCATCCTGTGCTCTCTGCTGTCGGGGCGTCCTGAGCACGTGCTGACTGGTGACCCTGTGCAGTGCTCCCGCTCATCCCGGTGCTCTCTGCTGTCGGGGCGTCCTGAGCACGTGCTGACTGGTGACCCTGTGCAGTGCTCCCGCTCATCCTGTGCTCTCTGCTGTCGGGGCGTCCTGAGCACGTGCTGACTGGTGACCCTGTGCAGTGCTCCCGCTCATCCTGTGCTCTCCGTTGTCGGGGCGTCCTGAGCACATGCTGACTGGTGACCTGTGCAGTGCTCCCGCTCATCCTGTGCTCTCGCTGGTTAACCACTGAACTGTTTTCTCCAGTCTCTACCTTTTAGGAGCATTATCACATTCTCAACCCAGCTAGCCTCTGAAGTTCCAAATGTCCTAGGAGGAGCTTCCACGGTAAGGCTCTCGAGGAATCCCATGGACTTCCTGCCCTGACCTCCCGTCTCGCTGCCTCTGAGTCCAGTGCACGGGAGACAGCCACCTGCTCCTCCTTCAGGCACAAGTGGGTTCAGGACTAACCCACCCCACTGGGACCCGCATGACACTGCAGACAGGAGGTTCCCGACACCCAGGAGAAGCAGGCACCCTTCCTCAGAACTCTCCCTGCTCCTGGGCGACCCCCAGACCCTGTGACGGAGACAGAAGCTATGAACGGGGTAGAGACAAGGTGAATTGTTGCCCGTGGAGCCAGCACCCCTGCTCCTGAGGGGTCAGGCAGGACCTTCTGGCTGCAGGGGCCCGAACTTCTTTCAAAAATAGACATAATTGTAATTTTCATCATTTTACTTCCTAACACTGAAGATAAATATGTATATATAACATCACAGACCATCCTTTCTAATTCTTCACTTGCCAATAAAAATGAGACAGCAGGCTCACACCTGTCGTGTTCCATTTCCCGGTTTATTCTCAAGTCTCAGCTGGGTTTTAGATTAAGTTTCTGAAAGTGCACAGACATCACCCACATCTGCCTACAGGTCAGGCACTGGCAGTGACACGTAGACCACGTCAGCGTGAGCATTACAACTGAACACCCTTCCACTCTCTAATGTCGGGGTTCAGCAGACGCATCCCTCACGCTGACCAGGGTGCAGCTGCACGAGCGTCCTTTCTGTGTGTAACTGGCTCACACAGCGCACACACTGTGTCCCTCATGCAACAGACTAGGCAGGAATGAGGAGTATTGAAGGTGCTCGAGATTATCCCATAAATCTTTCTCTTTCCTATAAACACACGAGTGTGCGCATGTGTGTGAACGAACACACTCATCCAGGCTGCAGGCCCCGTGGGTGAGGCTGCGGCCCCAGGGAAGGGAGTGCCAGGGACAGCGTTCGTCCTCATGGCGCCCACAGACTCAGGGAGGAGCAGAGCAGGTGATTTGGTCTCACATGCTGGCCTTAGACAGACTGTGTTCTCCGCGGCTGGTTTGCGACTCTGTCTGTAACTGGAGCGGAGTGGGAGGCTCTGGTCTAAGAATACTTCATGTGCCCTTACACTGTCTGAATCTAAGATATTTATTTGTTCTTTAGCCAAACACAACCACTGATTTCCATCTACAATCATTTTTAAGGTACGGAACAGCAGGTGGACGGAAGTTCCAGCATGGCCATGGGCCATGGATGTGACCTGTGGCTGGGACAGCTGGGGCAGGGCACAGCGGGCAGACGCGGCTAGCGGGTCTTCTCCAGGAAGGCCCTGCAGCACCTCACGCACTGCTGGTACACGGTCTCAAAGTCGGACTCGTTTCCCTGAAAGGAGGAAAGAAAAAATAACAAAACCTGAAAGATAAAATTGCCCTCGAGAACCTCAACACATCACTCCACGTGGCTGGACACAAAACAAGTGGTGCTCAGTCCCCCACGCGTGGCCGTGAGCCTGTACTCACATAATAGGGGTCTTCAATGATGACCTGCTTCTGAGGATCGTAGCTCCCAAGTAGTTCGATTCTAGCTTTGCTGTTTTTTACTTGATTACTTTTTCTAGTCAAATCTCTGTAAAATTAAAACAGTGACTTAGTTTTCTGATCAGTGGTTTCAGGTTAAACAGGGACATTTGCTAGGGTTTCATGAAACATTCAAATCAAACGCAGCAGAGGCCAGCTGATGACTACAAAGGAAGTCGGACACAGCGGGCATCGCCCCTCCGGCCGCTGTCGGTCATGCCCAGACGCTTATTCTCACCAGCTTTTTACACTGAATGTGAACCTGAGTCAGAGGACAGTCTTCTCCATGAAACACATGCCGACCCCCCAGTCAGAGCTATCCCGTTCAGAGTAAACAGAACGATGGCACTCGAAAGGCATGTGCACGAAGTCTGGGGCGATCAGCCCTGGGGGTCAGTGTCCCTCTGTCCGCCGTGCTGCCCTCCTGGCCCTGTCTGAGCCCGAGTGGGGACAGCCCACTCCACGCCCGCATCCCAGCTGCCCCGCTGCAGTGAGAAGCCAGACTTCGCCGAGCGACGGACACGCCCGACTGGTGCGGGGCTGGTGTGGGGCATGCAGTGTCCAACAGACCATCCCCCAACGTGACCTGGGCTCAGATGGGAAGGGCTGGCAACCGAGTGTCCTGAGCGGGAGGGACAGACAGCAGGTGGACAGCTTGCTCCACACGAAGAAACGCTAAACAAATGCCAACCGTGTTGGGATTTCACCAGTAGTGGAGCAGCCTAGTTTTCTAACAAGATATGGCTGGTGAAACCCACATGCTACTGTGTAGGTAAGAAAAGTGAGAGCAATGAAATTAACAAGTGAAAACAAATTTATGTGTTTTAATGAGGTCCCCAATGAACAAAACTGGGGGTGAAGCTGCTGCAAACACACCTGTGTCCTCGACAAGGCGAGGGGGAGGCAGTTTCTCTTCACACGCGTGGAGTGTGCGTGTCAGTGTGGAGGCCATGGTGCCTCCTGTGGACGGGGCGTCGTCTGTCTGAGCCGGGGGCCAGCCCTCTCCAGCACATGCAGCAGCAGCTGGCCTTACCCCGGACACTGTGCACTCCCTTCAGTCACTCAGCCTGAGTCTGCACTAATCTGCAGAACACGCCATATCCCCGTCTTGGGCACGTCACATGGGGTCACACGGCTCCTCCTTCAAGTGTCACTGCGTTCCCTACGTGTCGTCCACACCAGACAGAAACTTCATGGACGCAGGCGGCAAGACGATGTCCCACCACGGCGCACCAGCGCCTGCACTGGCAGCCACCCAGCGAGTTCCGTGTTGCGCAGAGAAAACACATCCCCTGGGGCCCACTGCGCAGGAGGCAATGGGGCCTGGTGGGGTGTGCGGCTCCTGTGAGCACACAGAGGACCCCACTTCCCAGAGCCTAGGACCCACCCAACACCTCTGTGAAGCCAGGCAGTACCCTGACCTCCCTGTGCCTCCAGTTCCCCGGGAAGATGGGGTGACAATGCCGCCCGTGGGCTATGTGCTTGGGCCAGAGCTGACACACTCTGCATCATGGCCGTTTTCATCTGATGGCCTAGGCTGTCAGCTTTGTAAAAAATCAATTAATGCCCTGGCCGGTTAGCTCAGTGGTTAGAGCGTCGGCCCCTGGACCAGAGAGTCCCGGGTTCGGTTCCCGCTAAGGGCACGTACCTCGGTTATAGTTTGTCCCAGGTCCCAGCTGGGGTTGTGTGGGTGGCGACCACTCAATGTGTCTCTCTCATATCGATGTTTCTCTCTCTTCCCCCCCTCTCCCTCTCGCTCTATCTGAAGATGTCCTTGGGTGAGGATAAAAAAAAAAATCCATCAAGGCAATCAACAATTTAAATAGTGAGACGGCCCCTGTCTGTCCTCCTTGGGGAAGTGGGGGGAGGGGAGCGCAGCAGAACGCCCACCGCAGAGCCACCGCGGTGCAGTGCAGCCTTCGAAGCCCTGGGCAGGAGGCCCCTCTCCAGGCGACAGCTGGTGCGCTTCCCTGGCCCAGGGCAGGTCGCCGTGAGGACACCCAGGAGACAATCCTAAATTACTTTCTTAATTTCTTACCATTGCAAATAAATTCATTCTATATACTGTGGCCATCACTATCTATTAAACTTTAAGATAATAAAAATGTCACTTGGACAGCAAACTATTCGGATTATTACTGAGATGAGAGTTGAAACACCTTCAGAAAGGAGATTACCTCAGATTGCTTTCATCCATACACAGGATATAGTCAAATGTAGCAAAGTCTTCTTTAGTAATCTAAGATTAAATAAGCAAAAAACACAGTGTTTATGTTTGTACCAATCAACCTAGAGGGTACAGAGCAGTAAAAACTTTTTTGCTATATTAGATTCTGTTACTTAAAAATTAAATTCAGGGTACTTTAAAATGAAAATAGAGTTAACCTATTTCCTAAAACTGTATTACAAAACAATTTTATATTATAAAGTTCCTGGAGTAAACATAAAATAGTATATAATATGTAGATGCAATTCCTTAGTAACAATGTAGAATTCAGTTAACATATTAAATGTCACGTAAATGAAAATGAAAACACGATGACCCCAAATCTATGGGATAGAGAAAGCAGTCCTAAGAGGAAAATTCATAGCATTACAGGCCTACCTCAGGAAATAAGAAAAATCTCACATAAACAATCTAACCCCACACCTAAAGGAACTAGAAAAAGAGCAAACAAAGCCCAAAGCAAGCAGAAGGAAGGAAATAATAAAGATCAGAGTGGAAATAAACAAAATAGAGACTAAAAAAAATAACAGAAAAAATCAATGAAACCTGAGTTGGTTCTTTGAAAAAATAAACAACACTGACAAACCTTTATTCAGACTCATTAAGAAGAAAAGATAGAGAGGGCCCAAATAAGTAAAAAAAGACAATCTGAAAGAAATGGATGAATTCCTAGAAACATACAATCTTCCAAAACTCAATGAGGAAGAAACAGAAAATCTGGACAGAGACTAGCAATAAAATCGAAGCAGTAATCAGACTCCCCGGCACCCTGGACCAAATGGCTTCATAGGTGAATTTCACCAAACATTCAAAGAAGAATTAACACCTATCCTCAAACTATTCCAAAAATTTCACAAGCAGGGTAGACTCACAAGCTCATTTTTCTAAGTCAGCCTCACCCTGATTCCAAAACCAGGCACAAACATTACAAGAAAAATATAAGCCGATATTCCTGATGAACATAGATATAAAAATCCTCAACAAAATATTAGCAAACCAAATTCAGCAACACATTAAAAATATACACCATGATCAAGTGGGATTCATTTCTGAGAGGTCAGATTGGTACTACAGCCACAAATCAATAAATGTGATACATCACATATGTAAAATAGTGGATAAAAATCACACAACCATATCAATAAATGCAGCAAAACCATTTGACAAAATACAGCACCCATATGATAAAAACGCTCAGCAAAATGGAACAGAGGGAACACATCTCAACATCATAAAGGCCATGTATGACAAACCCACAGCCAACATCACTCAACAGGGAAAACTACAAGCATGGCCTTGTAGGATCAGGAACAAGTCAGGGAGGTCTGCTTTCACCACTCTTGTTCAACGTAGGGTTGAAACTTCTAGCCACAACAATCAGACAAGAAGACATAAAAGGCATCCAAATTAGAAAGAAGGAAGTAAAATTGTCATTATTTATAGATAACATGATACTGTATATAGAGAATCTTAAAAGATTCCACCAAAAACCTACTAGAACTGATAAATGAGTTCAGTAAAGTATCAGAATACAAAATTAATATTCATAAATTAGTTTCATTTTTACACATCAATAACAAACTACCCGAAAGACAAATTAAGAAAACAATCCCATTTACAACTGCATAAAAAATAAATTTAACAAAGAGGTGGAAAATGAAGAGACATTCCTGAAAGAAACTGAAGAAACACAAATAAGTGGAAACATATACCATGCTCCTGGATTGGAAAGATTAACACTGTTAAAATGTTTCTATTACACAAAGCAATCTATAGACTCAATCCCTATCAAAATACCAATAGCCCTTTTCACAGAACTAGAACAAACAATCTTAAAATTAATATGAAACACAAAAGACCCCTACCAGCCACAGCAGTCAAGAGAAAGAACAAAGTTAGAGGAATCACACTACCTGATATCAAACTATACAACAAAGCCACAGTACTCAAAACAGCAATGGTACTGGCAGAGACTTCCATGTAAGATAGTAAAGACCACAAAGTGCTAGAAGAAAACAGAGGCGGTAACCTTGTTGTGTTGAGGGTCTCAGCAGGGTTTTGGATGAGTCTCCCAGGGGAAAGACAACAGAAGGAAAAGTAAACAAATGGGACAACATCAAATTAAAAAGCTTTTGTACCACAAAGGAAACCATCAACCAGACAAAAAAGCAACCTAATGAATAAGAATAGATCTGTAAATGACATGTACAATGAGGAGTTAATATCCAAAATACAGAAAGAACTCATACAGCTCAACATCAATAAAAACAATGTCTTAAAAAATCCCACATCTGGGTGTGTATCCAACCTGGACACAAGTGTGATGCTGGGTGTGTCCAACAGAACTGCACACAGGTGTTCCCCGAAAGACACGTACAAAAATATTCCCAGAGGCAGAGTCCCGTACTGGAAACAAGCCAGTGTCCACCAAGCACAGGCCAGAACCTGACCTGCGGCACAGCCGTCAGTGACACGCCCCGCATGAACACTGGAGCCCCGCCACAGGCTAGGAGTCAGGAAGAGAGCCTTGCCGTGGGGACCTGGAGGAGTGGCGCAGCCAGCACCGGCCTGTGTGCACACACGTGCATCACTGCGGCTCTGTGCACCTGTCAGAGCAGCTCGCTGAAGAGAAGGAAGAGTGTGTCACGAAGGAAACATCTCCACAGCACTCCCGGGGCTGAGCCTCCACTCACTGCACCGCGTACGGCCACCACACAGAAAGGAGCACCCACTTCGTATTTGATTTACGAAGCCCGAGTAGAAAGTACTGGGAAAACAAACACTTTAAGAGACAGAACACAACTGTTCTCATACAGATTGTGACAGTGACTGAAGAGAAAACCTGCAAACACTAGCAAGATTCTAAACTCTGAAGATTCGATGTGATACTTTGATAGATTTGTAAAACCTATCTTACTAGCACTTTGAAATTTTTAAAAAATTGAGAAAACTTTCTTAAAAGCCACAGAAAAGTTACAAGGCAAAAGGCAAAACACAGATTATGTGGAAATACTACTTCTAAAACTGGTAATTACCAGGTTTCTTAAGTTGTTTCTAGCTTTGATTTTGCATGGCATGTGTACTGAAAACCTGGCCTCTGGATGAAAAACCACCCAAACTCAGTGAAACAGAAAACATGAAGTGTGGTTGCTCACAGTTCTGAACACCTCCTCAGACACACCCTCAGACACCCCCTCAGACACCCTCAGACACCTCCTCAGACACCTCCTCAGACACACCCTCAGACACCTCCTCAGACACCCTCAGACACCTCCTCAGACACACCCTCAGACACCTCCTCAGACACCCTCAGACACCTCCTCAGACACACCCTCAGACACCTCCTCAGACACACCCTCAGACACCCCCTCAGACACCTCCTCAGACACCTCCTCAGACACACCCTCAGACACCTCCTCAGACACACCCTCAGACACCTCCTCAGACACACCCTCAGACACCTCCTCAGACACACCCTCAGACACCTCCTCAGACACACCCTCAGACACCTCCTCAGACACACCCTCAGACACCTCCTCAGACACACCCTCAGACACCTCCTCAGACACCCTCAGACACCTCCTCAGACACCTCCTCAGACACACCCTCAGACACCTCCTCAGACACCCTCAGACACCTCCTCAGACACACCCTCAGACACCTCCTCAGACACACCCTCAGACACCTCCTCAGACACACCCTCAGACACCTCCTCAGACACACCCTCAGACACCTCCTCAGACACACCCTCAGACACCTCCTCAGACACACCCTCAGACACCTCCTCAGACACCTCCTCAGACACCTCCTCAAACACACCCTCAGACACCTCCTCAGACACCCTCAGACACCTCCTCAGACACACCCTCAGACACCTCCTCAGACACCTCCTCAGACACCCTCAGACACCCCCTCAGACACCCCCTCAGACACCTCCTCAGACACCTCCTCAGACACCCCCTCAGACACCTCCTCAAACACCTCCTCAAACACACCCTCAGACACCTCCTCAGACACCCTCAGACACCTCCTCAGACATACCCTCAAACACCTCCTCAAACACACCCTCAGACACCTCCTCAGACACCCTCAGACACCCCCTCAGACACCCCCTCAGACACCTCTTCAGACACCTCCTCAAACACCCCCTCAGACACCTCCTCAGACACCTCTTCAGACACACCCTCAGACACACCCTTGAAGAGGTTAGGGTGGACCAATGGCCAAGCTAACTCCTCTGTCCAGTGAAAATTCATTTAGGAAAGGGCCTGACCTTCAGGCAGGTAATCTAAACAGCAAACTGTTAATACAGAGTCAAATGACGGCCAGACACGAGAAGTTCACAGATCTTGGAGTGAACTTATCTAAGCTGAAAACAATGTGTCTTACTAATTTCTTAGACATCATTAATGTATTAGAATTACTTCTAAGACAATTCTGTTTTGTGAATTTTCTGGCTCACACCATGATGCTTTTATTAAATCAAAGTGATGATCAAATCCCAGCTCTACCATTTAAAACTTGGTAACTTTCAATAAGTCATTTGTCATTTATTTTCTCTCCAGAATTCTCAGTTTCTTGATCTGCAAAATGGGTTTACCAACTACTCCCTTCCCTAATGAGTAATAAAAAGAATAAAAATTAAGATGATTAAAATTAAAACTACAATGCTGCCTGGCCAGTGTGGCTCAGTGGACTGAGCATCATCCCATGGACTGAGAGGTCCTGGTTCAATTCCTGGTCAGGGCACATGCACAGGTTGTGGGTGCGATCCCCAGTAGGGGGAGCGCAGGAGGCAGCTGATCGATGTTTCTCTCTCATCAATGTTTCTATCTCTTTCTCCCCCCCAAAAAAATATATATATTTAAACAAATAAAAATAAAAACAATAAAACTACCATGCTGTGTGGCGAAGAAGTCTGAAAAGCTTCACAAGGTGCATTCCAACAAGGACTCACGCCCTGATTCCAGCCCCAAGGTCAGCTCCCTCTGCCGTCCGCATGCACATGTAACCTAGCTGATGACTGACTTTCAAAGCATCAGCTCCTGGCTGGCGGCCTCAACGCCTCCCAGCTGCCCTGATGCTAACCCACAGTCCTCTGAGCCCGGACATTTCCTTAGGTTGGATACAAAAGGACGTTAGAAAACTTTAGCCAGATTTTTAAAAAATCCAATAGAATCTCCATAAAATAATCATAGTCCCAGCAGAACAAGATACAAGATGTTCTGAATGACAAAATGAGCCCATTTCTTTGGAAGCTGATGCCTGCGGAATGGAAGGTCCCACGGGCCCGGTCTCCACTGGGAATGCTGCTGTGAGCCCTCACCCGTGGTTCCGTGAGCCGAGAAGCCTGTGGTCAGCAACGCCTCTGCCGATCCCAGGTGGCAATTAAATCAGTGAAACTGCAAACCCAGTCCTGGGTCACTGCACCATCCCAGGGGAGCAGCAGCCCCTGCCCCTGGACAGTGCACAGTGCATGGTCCTCGTCACCACAGGTCCACGGGGCAGCGCTTGGAGCTGGGCCCAGAAGTCCCAGGGCTGGGTGCAGGCTGCGTACCCACAATGTGGACATGGCCCAGGGCTTCTGAGGCACCCTCGTGACGTCAGGAGAGCAGTCACAGTGGCCAAAGTGTCAGCGGCCACAGTGGAGACGAGGAGACTGCCGCTCGGGCCGCCCAGCTCTGGTCCAGGGCCCTCCCATGACAGTCATGTAGCTACAGGTGTTTTGTTAAGTACAGTCCAAGACCCCAGAAGTCTGTGGGACCAGAGGTGAAGCTGACCATGAAGAAACACAGCCAGTAACAGGCCAGTCCGGTCAAACCTCTCACCCTCTCCAGTTACGGGACTCGACGTGACAGAAATGACAAGTGAAGGGAGATCTCGTCTACCTGTCTGGCTCTGTGGGCTGTGCTGATGCCATGGCTCCCTAGGCAGCTCACAGCTCTCGCGTCTGGCGCTCGGCCCAGGTTCCAGTCAGAAACAGCACAGCTGTCAATGACCCACTGAAACACAGAACACACGTGTGCACCTTCAAGTTCAAGCACGGTACCTGCCGGGCAGTGTGGCTCATGGGAACACCATGCTTCTTCATGCAAGCCTGCCCTCGGTGATCGGGAGGGTTTCCTACTTCGTACGTGGAGGTCGCTGCACTGTCTATCCTCCACTGCAGGAGAAAAAAGACACTTTTTCGAAATTCCCTGCCACAGAGGCATCCAGGTCGGCCTCTTTGAAACTGTGAATGGCACGTACCTTATCTGAAACGTTTTGATCAGCTACAAGTTTTCTGAAAACTGCTTCTGCGATGGGTGATCGACAGATATTACCTTAAAAAAAGAGAGGAGGGTAAAGGTGAGCATCAGATGTGAGGGAAGGCAGGCGATGTCTGCCGGCATAGCATGGTCCATGGGCCACTTCACACCTGCTGGGACGGCCCTTCACCCAGGACAGCATCTGCTTGGATGCCGTCACCCTGCCCGTCCTGGGACCTGAGAGGAACAGCTGCAAACTCCAGTCCAGTGGTCTGACACCAACTGTTCAAACACTTAAAGCACCAATGACAAAGACATCAGAAAGACAGTGATAACCACAATCATTGTTTTGTAGGGTGCTATCAATGACCCCGAAGTGGGTCCTGAAATCAACAGTGGACTGTAACCAACTAACTTTAAAATGAAGTATGACAGTCCTGGCTGGTTTGGCTCAGCAGTTAGGGCATCATCGGCCTGCGGAATAAGAGTCTCGGGTTCAATTCTGGTCAAGGATACGTTACTCGGTTTCAGTTCCATCCCCGGCCCTGGTCTGGGTCATGCAGCAGGCTACCACCAGTCGATGTGTCTCTCTCACTTCGATGTTTCTCTCTCTCTCCCTTTCTCCCTCCTTCTCTCCCTCCCACTCTATCCGAAGAAAATAAAAATAAATGGAAAAATATCCTCTGGTGAGGATTAAAAAAAAAAAAAATGGCCCTGGCTGGTTTGGCTCAGCGGTTAGAGTGTCAGTCCTCAGACCAGAGAGACCCAGGTTTGGTTCCCGCTAACAGCATGTACCTCGGTTGCAGTTTGTCCCCGGCCCTGGCTGGGGTCGTGTGGGTGGCAGCCACTCGATGTGTCTCTCTCGTATCGATGTTTCTTTCTCTCTCTTCCTCCCTCTCTCCCTCCCGCTCTATCTGAGGATCAATGCAAAAAAACTCAAAAAATGTCCTTGGGTGAGGATAAAAAAAGAGAAAGAAATACAGTAGTTAAAAAAGAACGTATTTTCAAGTGTATTGCACACAGTAAGGGCTACTACTATTTCATAAAATAAACAGCAGTGTGTGTAGGCACAAGAGTAGCCCACACACTCGTCCTGTACTCTCTGTGTGAAGTCCTGCTGGGGTGCTGTGGACCCAGGGGTCTGCCTGAGTTACAGGTACAGCTTCTGGGATGCCACACAAGGACCTCCAGGGCCACTCTTACTGCAGACCAGCTAGCCACAAGTCCGGGAGTCCCACAGGTCCAACACTCCTCTAGCAGGACCCAGGGCATTCAGGAAAATGCTGTATTTTTCTTATGACTGTGGTTTTATTGTAACAAAAAGACACAAAGCAGAACCAGCCAAAGCTAGAGAGCATTTGCAAATCCTAGAAGTTCCCCACAGAAAGCTCTCTGGGCCTCAGGGACGCCAGGGCACCCCTGTCCTCAGCCTGACAGTGCTCCACCCAGGAGCGCACAGGTCCTGATGCTGAGGGCACACTGGGTTAGACGGCGTGGCTGCTGCATTATTAGCCTGTGGCTGGACTCAGCCTCTGGCCTCCATGGCTGTGTCATCTTTGCCCCCCACAGAGGGGCCTCCCCCAAGACAAGATACTTCCCAGGAACTGACAAAAGCTACCCCTTTCATCAGCTGGGGTCGGATTCCTCACTCACAGGGGAAAAAGATAAAAGACATAAAATCTTCTCTCAAATCATCTCTACCATGTGCCAAGCAATGTATTTAGAGATACAGAATTAGCTACAATAAAATCGACATCAATACTAATAGACAGGAGCACAGGAAAAGTCTATAGAGAATAAACAACATAATAAGAAATTGGTTATCAGCAAACAAGGAAGGGAGGTCAGAGCGGACCCTTAAAGGACGAAAAGGACCTGCATGGGCACCGTCTTGAAAGGGGCATTTGAGTCTGGGCGGCTGAGGAAACGCAAGTGAGCTGACGGCACATGTGCACAGGAACCTCACCTGTGGCCAAGACTTGGACTTGATGTACGCCTGCTGGGAAGAAACCAAAGGTTTTGGGGAAGAGTGGCAAGATTTATTCCACCAACATATTGTGTATGACTATAGCTTTCCAGGCACAGACCCTTGGCAAAGTTAGGAAAATGACCACAGGATTAGGGAACATGAGACAATCCTGAGACCGAAGGTGGAGACTGGGTTCCTAAGAGGCTAACCTGGGAGGGCAAGGAACAGGCAGAACTGCAGTGAGGATGTGGCAACAGAGACGAAGGCAAGTAAGGAGAGCGCGGGACACGGCAGGCAGAACCGGTCCGCTGCAGTGCTGCGGAGCAGAACCGGTCCCCCACGGCTGAAACCAGCTCGCTAACTTCACTTCGCGTGTCTTCCATTTCTACAGGAATTAACCTTGAACGCCCTCTAGAAGCTAATGTGTGCTGTGACGTTTTCCTTTTCATATCCTAAATTTTAAAGAATGTTAAAACAGCTATGATCATCCCCCTATGTTAACTCCCAAAAGGCTTCCCTGGATGTGTCCTGGTAACTACTTGTCACCCTGCACCCCGGGAATTTACTTTTAACAGAAATCATTTTTCCAAATTAAGACGAGAGTTATTATTTTGGAACTCTAGAGTAATAGTTGCCTAATATCTCAACATCTAGAGATATAAGCTTAGTTTTCCCCACAAGACAAAAACATGAACAACTTCCTGCCTTACGTTCAAGGCAAATCTATCCACTCTTTTCCCAGATGGTTGTTTACAGCAAGAAGACGTGTGTGCAAGTTTGGTAAAAACTTATTTACTACAAAGATTAGCAGTTAAGGTCACACTATCTCAGAGAACAACAGATAAGCAACGCTTGCTTACAACCTGCCAGGGTTGAAACGCTGACCTCACTGCATCAGCAGGTGGTGTCAAGGTGGAGCCGGTCAGTGAGACTGTCCCACTTCCTACCAGGGAGGCCCCAACACCTAGCACAGCGTGTGGCTCATACAAAGCACCCGGTAAACATGGATTTGTAGGAAAGTCATGTGACAGCACGATTATCTTACAAAAACATAATCTTGCTAACATAAGGAGTTCAGCTCAGTGAAAAACCTTTGGCACTATACTTTAGTCTGAAAAAGGTCCAAATAAATGCTCTTAAGGAATGAGATCGCTACACTTTAGAAATACATCCTCTCGCCCTGGCCCGTTTGGCTCAGCGGTAGAGCGTCAGCCCGTGGACCAGAGTCGTGGGTTCGATTCCGGCCAAGGGCACGTACTAGGTTGCAGTTCCTCCTGGGCCCTGGTCCAGGTCATGCGGGAGGCAACCAGTGGATGTGTCCCTCGCACATCCATGTTTCTCTCTCTCTGTTCCCTCTCCCACTCTATCTGAAGATATTTGAGAAAATATCCTCGGGTGAGGATTAAAAACAAACGAAGTACATCCTCTGCCGTCCTGGGTGCAGGGCCACGGGAAGGGGCACTGCAAGTCCTCAGCCCTCCGGCCATGCTCTGGCCCAATGCTCCTCTGCGGGGCTGGTGCCCTGGCGTCCCCACCCTGCCGTCTAATCTCCACCCTGCAGCTGCTCCGAGTCCTGCAGAGGCTCGTCCTGTCCTCAGGCCCTGGACAGGTCCAAAAACACGGCTGTGACCCGGCCCTTTGCCTGCAGCCCGCGGATCTAAGGATAATTTTCACTTATTTACTTACTGTTATTATTATTACTTTTTAAATCCTCACCCTAAGATATCTTCTTCCATTGGTTTTTAGTCAGAGTGGGAGGGAGGGAAAAACATTGACGTGAGACACATGGATGGCTGCCTCCCGCAGGACGAGGGGATGGGGACAGGACGGGGGGCGAGGACGGGGGGGACAGGACGGGGGGGGACAGGACGGCGGGGAAAGGACGGGGGACAAAACGGGGGCAGGACAAGGGGGACAGGACGGGGGACAAAACGGGGGCAGGACGGGGGGGACAGGACGGCGGGGAAAGGATGGGGGACAGGAGAGGGGGACAGGACGGGGGGAAAGGACAGGGGGCGCCCACCGTGCCCAGCCGCCCGGCCGCGGCGCAGAGAGCCCGGCGCCCAGCCCACTTCGGGGTCCGCATCCCCGCCCAGCGGCGCAGCCCCGAGCGCACGAGACCCACCCCGGCCCCGGGGCAGTCGGGGCCGGATCAGCACGTCTCACCCAGACACACGAACAGCACCGACTTAGGCACCTGCTCAGCCATCTTCCCGCGCAAACACGGAAGCGCGTCGGCACCTTTGCGGCACAGCGCCTGCGCACTCCGAGCACACCGCTCCGCGCGCCTGCGCTGTCCGACTTCGGCGCCTCCGGAGAGGAGCCGGAGAGCCTCGCGCCTGCGCAGTCAGGCATAAACATCGCGGCGGGAGGCGGGGCCGAGAGTAGCCTGAGGGGAGGGCGGGGCCAAGGGCGAGGCGGGGGCGGGGCTGCAGCACCTGGAGGGCGGGGAACTCGGAGGCCGGCGGGGGAGGCGGGGCCCAGAGTCACCTGGACGGCTGGGCGCTTGGCTTGGGGACCGGGGAGGCGGGGTCGTGAGTCACCAGAAAGGCGCGCGGTGGGGGATGTTTGGGGTGAGCGGACGTGGGTCGCGTCTCTGGGAGTGATCACCTAAGGGGGGGCGCCAGCCCGGGCCGGGCACCTGGGGGCCTGCGGGCGCTCAGGGCCACACTGGACCGGCGGGGTCCTGGGCGGGTCAGGGGCCGCCCCACCTCTCACCTGGGCCTCGCGGCCGGACGTGCGGCCGGCGCTCTCGAGTGGGCGGGGTCTGCACGCGGCCAGGAGCCCCTCGGGGACCGAGACCCCGGCTCCGCCCCCCGGGCCCGGTGGGAACCGCCGCCCACAGCCGTCCGCCCTGCGCCCGGGACCGTCAGCCCGGGCTGTCTCGGTTCTAAAGAGGTGGGGCCGCCTTGGGACGCAGTCGAGCTCAGACTTGCCCGCGCTGCTGCCCGTGGGGTGAGCCCCGCCCGCCCGCTACCTGTCTCAGGTGTGCGCCGCGGGGCCAGTCCCTGCGCTGGGAGGCGGAGCCGGGCGAGCGCGCCCTGAACTTCCTGGGTAGGTCCGCCGCTCGAGGGGCGCCGGAGTGGACCGGGCTCGGGGTCACAAGTGAGTACAGGTGCCGTCCACGCCGCCGAGCCTGACGTGGAGTCGGGACCGACTCCTTCCCCTTTAGACAAGGGTGCGGGCGAGGGGACGTGGTTGAGAGACGGCGTCTCGGGTTTTCGCTGTTGCGCACCTAGTGACGCTGAGGTCACCTGCAAGTTGGGAGAAGTGGGGGGTGACATCTCCCCGGACTGGCCACAGCGCTTTTGATTGAGGTCTACTCCCAGTCGTTCCGATTCACAGAAGAGTTCTTCCTACGTTTTTTATTTTAACGATTGCAATTTGCTATTTGTAAATATCTGATACTTAAAAGGCCACGGATTTGTGTCTTTTTCGTTCCACTTTGAATAGATGATACTCTAGTCTAGAGCTTTGCGTGGTTTGCGTTTGGTGTGTGCTTGAGTCGTGGGGGCAGGAGGCAGAAAGATGGGGTGATGTGGGGGTGCCCTGCCTGCCATCAGCCAAACAGTCTGAGGTCTCAGAGCGAGAGAGTGGGCACAGACCGCCCCTGGGACCCTGTGGATCTGAGACGGGTGGTCCTTCCTTATTTGAACGAGTGTGAAACTACTCTGAATTGGTACATGACGATAAGGAAATGATTTACCCTGCTGGATGGAAACTTGTCATTTTTGCCCCATTTCAACCAATATTTCTGGGTCACCACTGCTGCTGCTAAGGCTGGGTTCCCTGCTCACAGGGAGTCACAATCGGAGGGGCCCATACGTTGTCCTGGAGAGTGTGTCCATTGGGATGTTGGTCAGGAAATCTCTAGCAGGACTTGGGAGAAACAGGTGGCCAGGGTGCTGGTCTGCTCTGGGAATACCTGTGCAGTGACCGACTGTGGAGGTGTCACAGGTGACTGTGTTGGAGGTTAAACAATCAAAACTGGTTTAACTTCCACACTGTTTATCTTGTTTCAGGAGAATTGGTTATTTGGTTCACTAATGTTCTATTTAAACAAAATGTATGTTAAATGTATAAATACTATCCCCGCATCTTTTGTAAGACTGAAAAAAATAATCGGAAAGAAATCTTGGCTCATTAAGACATGCGCTGATTTTATCCGTTAGGAAATCTTTGTTTTCAGGAGATGTCTCACTATTTAGAATGAAGGGGTGGTGTTCCCAAAGGAAAGAAAACAGGTCAAAGGGGCGGAGTGTGTCTGTGTGTCAGGCTGCTGGTGGTCAGAGCCCTCACACACCTTGTCTTATTTGCAAATGCATCTTGATAGGACCTAACCCTGTGCAAGCTAAGACCGAAGCACACTGAGTTTTCTGTTTTCTTTGGAAAGAGTCCATTTTTTACACCAAATGATCTGACCAGAGAGGAACCTGTAACCCTGCTCTGGGCCAGGGCCATGTGAGAGCTACAGTTTGGAGCGGGTGAGGGTTTCCACAAGCTGGACATTGTTTCTCATCACCGCCGACTCTGTCCCCTGTCTGCACCTGGGACGGGGACTAGAAAAGCAGCCCAAGCCTCAGGAATGTTTGGGTTCAGGTGGTGAGTTTTGTTTAAAGTTTGGATTAAGAGTTTGGATTAGGAAGGTTAATGATGTGCCCAGAGAGACTGGTTTTGATTTCTAGAACTGACCACTTTGTCTCTTTAAGTCAAAGAAAGTAGCTGAACCAACGCCACTGAAAGGTGAACAGTGGTTTCAGTGGTGTTCTTGGTTGATATTCTAGTGAAGGTTCTGGGCTAAAGGCAACCTTTAAAAGCTGTTTTAAAGATTACGTAGATAGGTGAAGTTTCTTTTATTTTGGCTAAGACAATCCATTCATTCTAAATATTTCTTAGCACTAGTCTAGTTCCTTTGATTTTGGTTGAGATTTTATCTATTTAGTGAGTTAACCTCTATTGCATGTAAAGTATAAGGCTTAATAATTTGATTAATATGTAATTACGGAAATTTGGAAAACCATTTCTAAACTTTTCCTAGAGGCACCCCTCTCATAACTGAGAGTCTCCTGAGAAGAAGAATAGTGCCTACTGAAGGAGGAGGAGTTTGAGAGACCCTGAACTCCCCTTGCTTTGATTCCAGACCTTCCGTGGAAGGTAGAGTGGATACGAGTCCATTTTCTCACCCCCGTGGTGATTTCCTTCAGGGGGATTCTAATGTCCCTGTTCACTCCCAGAGCCCCGCCGTGTTTTCTGACTGTGATCAGTACGTGAATCATTTCCACATCCTAAGCTCATTTGAAGCTTTTGAGGTTTGCAAAGTAAAAATTATCTCCCCAGTGGTTTATGAACTCTTCTTAATTAAAACAATGTCTCAGTATGAAAATTTTCAAATTTTTTAAATTACTTTTTAAAGAAAACTTTACATCTAAGTTACTTAGCTTGAGGTTTGGCAGTCATCCAGCCATTAGGAGGAAACTCAAATGTTTATAGAGAATTTGCCTTGCCTTGGAATTCAAGAGACAAAACTGTTAAGATCATTCAGATACCTACCTAGGTTAAAATTTAAGGGGCTCCTTTAGTAAGGACCTCCATCTTCATAGCTGCAGCAGCATTCCGATCAGACCATGCTCTCCTTGCATTATGAGCAGCAGAAGGACTGTGGGTGAGCCCTGCCTTGATGCCGAGAACAGGAACTGTGGCTTATAGCTAAGTTACTATTTGTTGGCTCTGATAGAGAGTCACTGTGTAGAACCTCTGACCAGGTAGTATGATTTTATCATAAATTTAATGGAACCCATATTATTAAAACAAATTAGCCAGGCTCTTCTGTAGTTCGGCTGAGTACAACAGTATCCTCACCGTGACCAGCCCTGTCAACACCCAGTTCTCAGTGCCACGGGGCAGCACCTACGCAGAACGGCTCAGCGCGCTGATCTGAGCGCTGTGGTCTGCAGGCCTCCGGCTGCCTCTGACCCCCAGGTGTTTGTAGACGAGGCTGCCCTGCCCTGACTGCCAGATGTTTGCAGCAGCATCTCTCAGCTGTGGAATGTGCTTATTTGATGGTGTGATTCTGCTTGGGTGTGGAGATCCCAGGAGAAAGTCTTGGTGGGGGTGGATCTGTGTATTATTCACTAGGCTTCAGTTGCACCTGTCAGACCCTGGGCCAGCGGAGCCCAGGTGCTCTCCCTCCAACTCTTGTCCAAAGCTCCCCGGCATGGCTTAGTCCTCAGGCACCCATAGGGCAACAGAAGCTTCCAGCAAGTACCTGGAAAGGCCCTCCTGTGGTGCCCACACCAGCCCTGGGCCAGGTGCTTGCTGATCACGGATGAGCTCTGGCTACAAAGTCACGGTGGCCCAGGAGGGGGTTGGGAGCACCCACAGCAACGGAGACAAACGGTGCTGATTCCAAATGAAAGAGGCGTATGTTCAGCAGAAGAAACACACTTCACTGGCTACAGACTCAGCTCCACGGGACGTGTGGAGCATTGAGATGTGCCAATTGTGGGCACAAAGGTTAGTCCAGTCTCCGGCCTGTCGAGACTGCAGTGGGGGTGGAGGGGCCAGCACAGAGGAAGTGGGAAGCACCGGTGTCCGGGTGAGAGTCTCCAATCACAGACCCAAGTGTCAGAAATGGAGGCCCTTTCGTATGGGCCCTGGTCTTCAGTGGAGTTTGGGTCTGCTTCCCCCGGAAGCTCTCATGTTGCGGCGGGGGTGGGGGGCTGAGAAGACAGTCGGGCTGCTCACTGCCCACTCGGATTGCGTGTGGTCTTCAGGTACCACTCATCCTGGGGGTGCGGCTGGTCCTCGTGGCTTCACGCGTCCGACCGTCAGCTCCGAGGGAACAGCAGTGGCATCCTGTGAGCACTGTCCTGGGGACCGAGCGTCGGGCTGCAGGGACTGGGGTGAGCCACACGCATCCTGGCCCCGGGGCCTGAGGCTGCCTGGAGCTGCAGTCGGCTCTCCCCGCTGTGGGCTGGTTTTGTTCCCCCCTTTCCCGGAGGGCCTGGAAAGGACTCTTTTAGGGCAGAACACTATCATGTTGTCCCTTGCTTCCTGCTGAACCCCGTTCTCTCAAGGGCTGGGCAGTGCTACAGAGACAGGGACACTGCTGGTAGTCAGCTCTTCTCTTATAAATCCACCGGGAAACCTATGTAAATGGGCCTTTCTGCTCCTCACAGGGTTTGACCTTTCATTCCTAAAGCCACATGGATACTTTATTCATTTAACAGATATTTATTGGGTAGTTACTATGTGTCCCTATGGCATGTACTGGAGATATTGTAATTAATAACGTAGTCACTGTGGGCATCCCCGTGGTACTTATCTTCCAGTGATGCAAGAAAGGTCAGAGCCCACCGGTTTGGCTCAGGGGATGCAGGGTCGTCCCATGGACTGCGAGGTCTCAGTTCGTTCCCAGTCAGGGCACGTGCCCGGGTTGTGGGCTCGATCCTCATAGGGGTGTGTAGGAGGCGGCCCACTGATGTTTCCGTCATTGATGTTTCTGTCTCCTGCCTCTTTCCTCTCTAAAAAAAATCAATGAAAAGATTAAAAAAAAAAAAAAAGATCAGAGATAGACAGATAGACAGACATATTAGCCACGACACAGAATAAATATGATGGGAAAACTTTGAGGGATGTGAGCAGTGAGTAAAATGATCCGAGATATTACGTAGATGGAGTAAGAGTCATTTGGAGAAATGACCACAGATCCAAGACCGGGAACCGAGGAGCCAGGGAGGAGGTGCTGGCGCAAGAACTGGTGTCCTTGAGGCCAGGCCGGGGGCTGGGGACCAGGCGACGTCATCGGATTCTGAGTGCGTGTTGAAGGGTCTTGTTCGGAGAGGGTGGGTTGTTGGTGGGTTGGCGCAGGGCAGGGGGCACAGGGTCCCGCTGGCCCGGGTTTGGAGCCCGAGCTCCCAGATGGAGGAGAACTGTGGGGCGGAAGCTGGGGAACAGGTTGGGGAGGAGGCAGGACATCGCAGGCAGTGTTTGAATGTCTTTCATGAGATGCTTACTTGATACTCGGGTCGAGCAGGTAATTGATAGTGTGAGTCTGAGACTGAGGGGAAGGGTCAAGAGTGGATGAAACGTGGAGAATTATCAGA